ATTTCAGGGCTTTTGGCTGCTCGGGCTCAGGTGGCTGCCTTCCCTGCATCATTGACGCCCTGACCAGGAGGTGATGGAAATATTCTGGCCTGGGGGTGAGGGTCAGTGGCTGGGAGGTGCCAACAGCACATTCCTCTTGGTCCCTACCCCACTTGCCTGGGGCCCTGGGGCTGCTGGGGATTCTTTCCTTGCACCCTGAACCTCAGGGCACTTGATACAGATTGCGTGCAGGCATTTGGGGTCTTGTGGGTGCAAATTGTTGATACAGCAGGTGTTAGTACCAAGGGCTGGGGCTGCCGGCCAACCTTTCACACCCCCACCATGCGAGCTCACTGCATGAAGCCCTCCTCTTTGCTTGTGCTATGAGCCTAGAAAGCATCTACAGAACCACCTCATTTGGCCTCCCATCTCCTTGGACAGGTTGGAACTACGGTCACCGTTTTACTGATGAGCACACGGAGGCTCGGAGAAGAGTAGTGACTTGCTCAGGGTCACACCGCAGGGGTCATGGCAGAGCTGGGATTAAGACTGTGTTCTGGATGCCAGCCCGGGGTCCCCGTCCCATCTGCCTCCCAGGTCTGTCTGTTCTGGGAGTACTGCCTGGGGGAGGCGAGTCGGAGGCGGGTCTCGAGAGATGTGTAAGAGTGATCAGTGAAGGGTGCTGGGAAGGGCGCTCGGGGGTGGGGGGACCGCATGCACAGGGCCGGCCCGGTGGCTACGGGGTCGTGTTGAGCAGCCTAGACCACTCCAAGCACTGCTACATTTTCAGGGAGCAAACCTGTGGTGCCCACACTTTGGGCAAAAAAACCCAACATGAATCTCCTGGGGTGCTTATGAAATGCAGATTCCTGGGCCCAGCCCTTAGAGATTCCAGGTCAGAGGAATCTGCACTTCCCACAGCCTGGTTCCCTGATCCCACCCCACAGTTCTCACACAGGTGGACCCTGGGCCACTTCGCTGGAGGTGCAGCGGGGTTGGGGACTGAGGACAGGGCAGTGTGCAGGGGTGGAGGGGCAGAGGTGTGGAGGGAGCCCTGGGAGCAGTGGCAGGGGCTGCACCTCCGTGGGCACCCACATCCGTAAGCACAGCTCTCCCACCCCCTTCCCTGTGGACCCAGTTCCCCTTCCCTTCCCATTGTTCTCCCCAGCTCTTATCACCACCCTACAAACCGCCCGTTTGACCTCTTTATTAGATTTATTAGATTCTGCAAGAGTGAGGGATACCTGAGGGCAGGAGCCTGTCTGTCTGGAGTCACCCCACGTCTAGCACCTGGAATGTGTGTGGGGACAGTGGGCCTCTTGTTCTGTTTTGTTTTTATTTATTTTTCCTGTGGAAAATATCTGGGTACACCTGTGGGCTGGTGGGAAAGGCCTCAGTGTGTACAAGGTGAAAAGCGGAGATGTCAGAGGTCGCTCCTGGAGGAGGCTGAGGGCAAGGCTGGGGCCCCTCAACCCACAGGACATCTCCTCCCTTTAAGCCTGCAGGGAGAGAACAGGCAGGTGGAGAAGTGGTAGACGAGGTACGCATCCCTGGCCCCCATCTACCTCATGCTGGCTGCTAAGGGACACCCCTGGGAAGAGAGGAGTGGGTGCAGGCCTGTAGAGTGATGGGTCTGCTGCAGTCCTTGAGCAGGGGCTTTGGGAACAGGTGAGAGCCCCACTGAGGCGGCACTCTGGTCATGGACCTCTTTCGTTCAGAACCTCCCAGGACCCTCCTATACACACCTGTCCCCCCCCCCCCCCAGGAAGGGGTCCTCAAGAGGCATTAAAAACCAGCCTCCTGTCCCAGTGTCCCCAGCTGGACCATGCCCTGCTCCCTGTCACCTCATTATAGCCAGACCACAAATCCCGAGTTGGCTCCGCCAGGAAGCTTGCCTGGATCCAGGGCCCATCAGCTGGGCTCCCACAGAACCTAGCCCGTCCCTTCCTTGTGTGACTGTCTCCTCCACCTCTTACCTGCCTCCCCGTGGACTCGCCAAACTCAGGGCAGGGTCTGATTTGTCTCCCAGCTCCGGCAGGGCCACCAGCAACTGGTTGGGCTCCGCCTGGCCAGCGGCAGGCCCCGGGTTCTCAGGCCGGGCACTCGGCGCCCTCCGCTGGCCCAGCTGGGCACAGCCAGGCACATCCCCAGGCTAATCTTGATACTTGGTTATAAAAGACCATTAAACAGGGATCCCTGGGTGGCGCAGCGGTTTGGCGCCTGCCTTTGGCCCAGGGCGCGATCCTGGAGACCCGGGATCGAATCCCACATCGGGCTCCCGGTGCATGGAGCCTGCTTCTCCCTCTGCCTGTGTCTCTGCCTCTCTCTCTCTCTCTCTCTCTCTCTCTCTCTCTCTCTGACTATCATAAATAAATAAAAATTTAAAAAAAGACCATTAAACAAAAGACCAACAGCCAAATGGAAAAGATGAGCAAAGGGGCCCCTGGGTGGCTCAGCAGTTGAGCATCTACCTTTGGCTCAGGTTGTGATCCCGGAGTCCTGGGATCCCGCATCGGGCTCCCCATAGGAAGCCTGCTTCTCCCTCTGCCTGTGTCTCTGCCTCTTTGTGTCTCTCATGAATAAATAAATAAAATCTAAAAAAAAAAAAAAAACATGAGCAAAAGACATGAAATTACATTTCAAAGATAAACACGTGGACATACAACACATACGTTTTTAAACATACGACAGATCCAGATGTTTAACAGCGGTGTCGGTGCACGTGTGGCTGTGAGTGGCAGCTGCCAGCGGAATTCACAAATAGTCCCACTTTCCTTTTCTCGGGCACTGGTGTAACCACACTATCCGACCCCAGAAGTGAGGTGGGACTGCACGGCTAGCTTTGGAGGATGAAATGTGAGTGGAAGGGGTGTGTGTGGGCCGCTTGTGGGTGGAAGCCGTGCACGATGCTCCACTCGCGCAGTCCTCCTGCCTCGGTGTCCAGCAACATTCTCCACCGTGGTTGGTCCTTGCTCTGGTTCTGGGGTGAGGCGGCGGCATGGAGGGGGGCAAAGCCCGCAAGGGACACACGGTGTGTGAGAGAGATAAACCTCCGTTATTTCATTTTAAGTTCCTGAGACTTGAGGGTGATGCATAACTCAAGGAAAATCTAGCCTCCTCTGCCCTATTCCCCAAGCATCCTTGGTGAGACTGCATCAATATAAAATATTCAAGTGCCTCTTGTGTAGAGATGCCACTGCTAGGAATTTATGAAACAGATATGCTCACACACTGCAGCTTTGTTTGTAATAGCAAAAAGCAGAACACAGCCTGCATCCATCCTAAGACACTGGAATCCACGCAGAGTAGAATAATCTGTAACCAGAAAAAGCAGTGAAGCAGGTGTAGATGCACCTGGGAGGCCTTAACCCCAAGATCAGAGCTGGACTAAGATATTAGAGGCCCTGGGATCTACAAAGATTATGATGCCCTTCCCCACCCCACCAGTATAAATAAAAAACTAAAAATAAATCAGGAAATAAATGTTTAGGGCACCTGGGTGGCTCAGGGGTTGAGTGTCTGCCTCTGGCTCAGGTCGTGATCCTAGGGTCGAGTCCTGGGATCCAAACCCGCATCAGACTCCCCACAGGGAGCCTGCTTCTCCCTCTGCCTATGTCTCTGCCTCTCTCTGTATGTCTCTCATGAACAAATAAATAAAATATTTAAAAAGGGAAATGAATGTTTAGAAGTCTATTTAAAAAAGTTTTTATAAAAATGGAATATCCCCTAAGAGATACTCAGTAAATGAGGGTATTTGTTTTCTAAGCCCGCTGTAACAAATTGCCATAAATACTGCAGCTTAGAATGACAAACGTGTATTGCCTCACAGTTACAGAGGCTGGAAGTCCAAAATCAGGTGTGGGCCGGACCATGCTCCCTCTGCAGCCTCTAGGGGAGAAGCCCACACCACCCCCCGGCTTCTGGTGACTCCCGACCTTCCTGGGTTAATGGCAGCATCACTCCCATCTCTGCCTCCCTCTGCACATGGCCTCCTTTCCTGTGTCCCTCTGTGTCTCAAATGTCCCTCTCCTTTCTCTCACGACACCAGTCTTTGGATTTAGGGTCCATCCTACACCCAGGATGATCTCACCACGAGATCCTCAGCTTAATTACGTAGCAGAGACCTTATTTCCAAATCCGGTTACAGTCACACGTACCAGGGATTAGGCTTGGACATATTCTGGGGGGACACTGTGTGAGCCACCACAACGGGTAACAATGGTTGCCCCTGGGAGATTCAGGAGTGGGAGGGAGATGAACTTTCCACTGTATATTCTTTTACTCTACTTACAGTTAAAATAACATATTCCTGTAAAAGAAATTTTTTTAACAAAAGGTATTTTACTAAAACATAAGATTTACAGAAGTTTCCAGACAAGCCATACAAAATGGTCACAAGCTTTTTCTTGAAGGAAGGATTCTACACTTGACAGCAAAGTCACAATGTTATTAGTGAGGGCTGTGATGTTTGTTTAATGTTCCCATTTTGGTTCAAACAATCAAGCTTGTCCATCTACGGCGTCTAAATAAAGTTAGACTTGGCTAGAGAGCGTATTCTAAAGAACTGGTTAGCTGCTTTTAACTGATGCAGTTAGATCACCGTCAAAAGGGGGAGAGGAGCCCATAAAATTAAAACAAAACTACCTCTCCCCCTCAAAAATAATAATGAAGAAAAACACCCACACCCCTGCAGCTAACCCTGACAACTACCTTCATTCACAGTGATTTATACTTAAACCATGATGGGGGAAATGAATAAAAGCAGAGAGCTGAGAGGGGCCACTGCTTTTAAACATTTCACAACAATCCAGATGGTACTTCTAGCCTCTGCTCCTGCTTTACAACAGTGAATCAGGACAAGACATAGATTTGCTAATGTGCATCTAATCACCAAAGGACTGAAGATGTCTGGGCTTTTATTCTGTAATGTTTCTAAGACTGTGTCCATTAAATGCAAACAAAAGAGGAAGAAGTCTTGGCAGAGCAGGAGGAGTGATGCACACTTGATGATCAGATCGATTTTAAATATTATTCATGGCATATAGCCTAGTGCATGCTCTAGCTGTTTCTACGGCTTGGGCTTCGTTGGTCTTCCACGGCTCCGCTACATCATTTGCTAACGGATCATCTGGATGGGGAGCACTTAACAAAGCCTGGATCGATAGCAGAACTGTGCGGATCCGCAGTGCTGGGGACCACTTATCTTTCAAAATATCTAAACATATTCTTCCCAACTTGTCTACATTAGGATGATAAATTTTGGTCATGAAACGTACTTTAGGGGCTGCGATCGGGTATTCTTCTGGAAGGAATGGTTCAAGTTTAAAAGTCCCTCCCTCATAGGGGGAATCCTGGGGGCCAGCAATGACCACATGAAAATAACGGGCATTGCTCTCATCTGGTTCTGCTTTAATGCCAGGAACTGGTTCTGCCAGCAAACGCTGGGTTTCCTTGATAATCCTGCGGGGCAGCCCGGCCGTCTTGTCAGATCCCGAGTTTGGACTCTGCTCTCGACTCTGGCTCCGCTCGCCTCACGCATGAGTGGAAGTCCTGTAAAAGAAATTTTTAAAATTGAACATCTACACAAAAAGGATGCTCCTCCCTCTCCCCCAAAAGTATACAGGTTCAAAATGTTGATGCTGCTGAATTGCCCTACTTTATACTCAATCTTGCCACTAGAGGCTGCATACGCCACGTTTCTGATGGCGGAGGGGACAGAGAGCTAATCTGCCCGCTGGTGCAGGTGCCTGGTGCAGGTGTGAGCAGAAGTCAAGGGGAGAAGGCTGTTTGGAGGGACGCCAAAAGCGTGTGTGTGGCGGGGGGCATTGTTGGAGTGGCAGATTTGAGAATGCTAAAGGGGAAAGGGAAGAAGGAGAGTCCCCTTCCCCACCCCTCGCCCCGAAAGAGGGAGGAAGGAAGGAAGGAGGAGGAAGGGATGGGTGTTGGCCCAGAGAGCACTCAGCACTCCAGGAAGACCCGGAGGGAGGGCTTCTCTCCCTGATTCCCACAACTCAGTGAGGAGCAGCTGGTTTGCTGCTGGGAGGGGGAGATGAGAGGACACACCTGCATTGGGCAACCTGGGGGGGGGGATGGGGAGGGGGTGCGGTAATTACCGAGGGACCAAAGCCCTGTGGAATGACAGGTGGCCCAGCTGGGGCTGGCCCCTCACAGTGTGCAGTGCAGGATATGGGATGAGAAGTGACTGCCCCTCCAGTTCCATCTGTCGCAAAGCCCAAACACCCTCCCTGAACACTTGACAGTACCCCCCTTCGTCGGCCTGGGGACATCGTGTCCCTGTGTGCACATGCTGGGCCATCCTCTGGGTGTTCCTGAAGAAGCCCCGGCCGGTGAGAAGCACAGGGCTCCAAGGAGCATCAGGACAAGCCTGCCCCCATCTCCCCAGGGTGTTCTCTCTACGGGAGGGAGTCTTGACCAGGAAGCCGCCAGGAGCACAATTCAAATACAGTTCCCTTTACGGGGGAGGCAGCCTGCCAGAGAGGGGAGCTCCTACTTTGTGCCACGGATGGTGGGATATCCCGCGAGAGACAAAGTGGACAAGGCCCTGACCCCGCAGAGGTCATCATCACCCCCTGGTTGCAGGATGTTCATTCAATCGGCCTCCGGAGTGAGGGGTTTGCCAACAAGGAAGAAAGGGCATGGCCTCAGAGGCACAGGCTCAGAGGAGGTCACTTCACTCTGAACCCACTGCTCAGCTGCACAGCGGGATCGTGAAGGCGCTGGCGTTTCTTCCCAGTGTGGCCGTCTGGGCCAGCCCCTGGAGGCAAGCCGAACATGCCACCTGAGGCCACGGCTGCTCAGCGCTGAGCGTGCTCCCGCTCCCTGCCGTGTTTGCCAGGTGCCAGATGCCACTTTTACAGAGTGTGTAAACCGTTCTGCGAGTTGAATCGTTTGGAACACTGAGCTTGGGCCCACAGTGCAACTCTTTAAAGTACATGTATGACATTCCTGCAGATGGAAATCCAAAGTCTTCGTACAATAAATCTCATGAAGTGTGTGCAGAACATTAGCTGGAAATCAAAATTGAGCAGTACCTTCAAGAAATGGCTGGTTGGTGAGGTCAGGGGACCGGCACCAAGGCACAGAGGCTGGAGCAGGGTAGGAGCAGATTTTCAAGGATGCCAGGCTAAGGCCCAGAGACAGAACGGATGGAGGAAGGCAGTGAGGAGTCCACGGGAACGGGCAACGACAGGGAGGGCCAGACACCGGTGAGGTGGCCTCAACCTACCGTGGTGGCAGCTCGGAGGGCTCAGAGTGAGGGGCGAAAGAAGGCGCCTCGAGGGCGTCCTGCTCATTCAGGGTCTGGGGCTGCTGCTTCCTTCCTCTGGGCATCACTGACGCTGTCTGGGACAGCGAGGCCGGACCCTGACCCTCCAGGACCCAGGTCCTATGGGTCTCGGGTGGCTCCATCTTCCGGGACCCCGGGCGTCGCTTCACTCTGCTCGGTCGGAGCCGGGAACGGAGCAGAGAGTCTGGCTGTGAGGCCGCGGGGGTCCAGGACGCTCCGCCGCAGCCCACCGCCCCCACCGGAGCCCCGAGTCCCATGCACGGACCGGGCTCCCCAGGGCGAGGCACCGGCGCGGGCGTCCCCGTCCCCACCAGCGCGCAAACCGGCCCACTCCTTGCGCTGCGCACGAGGGGGGTGGGGGGGGTGGCTGCTGCTGCTGCTCCTGCTGCTGCTCCTGCTGCTGCTGCTCCTGCTGCTGCTCCTGCTGCTGCTCCTGCTGCTGCTGCTGCTGCTCCTGCTGCTCCTGCTGCTGCTGCTGCTGTTGCTCCTGCTGCTGCTCCTCCTGCTCCTGCTGCTGCTCCTCCTCCTGCTGCTGCTCCTCCTGCTCCTGCTGCTGCTCCTGCTCCTGTTGCTCCCGCTGCTCCGGGCCCCGCGGGCGCTCGCGCGCAGGACGAGCACGGCCTCGACAGGAGCACCGGCCTACGCGGCCCAGCCGGTGGCCAGCGCCTCCTTCCGCCGCAGCGCCAAAGTGCGTGTGCCCGAGCGGGACGCGGGGGCGAACCCGCCGTGCTCTCTTGGGCCTCAGTTTCCCCGCGCACGGGAGGGGCTGGAGCGAAGGTCTCCGAGCGCCCTCTGCTGGCCGGGTGACGCGCGGGGCGGATCCCGGGGGCTGCAGGTGCCCCGGGGCGGAACCCGGGAGGGCGCCCCTCGGGAGGCTCGGCGGGTGGAGAGCGCTGAGAACCGGCGGGCGCGAGGGGCAGGTCTCCTTGCTGTCGCTGTGCCTCCGGGTAGCGGCGCCCCCCGCCCCGCCCCGCCCCCGCCCAGTTTCCGGAAGGTCGGAGCCAGCAGCTGCCCCACCCGGAGCCTCGGGAGCTCGGTGCTCGGTGCTCGGGGACGCCTGGTTCTCTCCGACTACCACCTCTCCAGGCCGGGGCTCTGGTGCCGCTTCCCTGGGTGGGAGTCAGAAGGGGGGTCGAATCCCGGCTCCTTCACTCGCAGGCTGGCCGTGCTGGGCAAGTCAGGTAGCCTCTGGCCTATTTCCAGAAATAGAAATAGGTAATAGCACTTCTATTACCTTTAAAGGGGAGGTGACAGTCCCTCCCCTAGGGGTCACTGTGAAGGGAGAGGAGTTCTGAGACCTCACGTACCCTGCCCTGTGAGCCAGGGAAGAGAGCGCTGGAGGAGGTAGTTCTTTCCCTGCTGCAGTGACCTGCTGCAGTGACCTGGGGACATCCTCCTGGCGCCGCGGCAGCTCCTGGAGCAGAGGGGAAAGCCCCACCAGCAATGGCTGGCTGACCCGTGCTGCTGCCCCAGCCGCTGGGTCTGCGTGTGCCGGGGTGGGCAGAGGGGTGTCACCCTTAGGGGTGCCCCGTGCCTTCTGTTAGCTCTCCTTTCTTCAGTGAAGTTTACTCAGCTCGAAGCCCCCCTTCCTTGTTCCCTGAGCCTTCCTACCTTCTAGAAGGAAGAGGCTGGGATGAAAAAGGGCATTTCAAGTCACCACTGCCCCCCCCCCCCCCCCCCCCCAGACAACTCTTCCAGAAGTAGTGAGCAGTGAGTGCAGGTGAGCAGGTGAGCAAGCAGAGGCGGGTCAAACACTTGAACCAAGCACTCAAGGGTGTTTCTTCCTTGGTGGAAGTTTGGAACAGGAACCTCCCAAAGTTCATTTATTCATTAATTCAATAGGTATTTGTGGGAATTGAATTTAGACTGATTGTATTTTTGCCAGGCAGAGAAGGATTTTTGGCCAATCCTTTTATTTTACCCATGAGAAACTGAGGCCCAGAGAGAAGGGTCTTACCCCCTTGGTGCATTAAATCCAGAAGCTGACATCCAGGACAGCCCTCCATCCACTGCAAAGTGCCCGCACCCGATTCAAAAGCTTTTCATTTAGTGAAGGCGCATTTTAGATGGGCCTTTGATGCATCATCGGAGTTTAACAAATGAAGGCGGCAGGCAGGGGAGTTTTATTCTAGGGGAAAGGGTAGAGGAACAGAAGCACCAAGCTGGGAAGCCGGAGGTGGTGAATTGGAAGCACATGTCCAGAGCTCCTTATCTGCCTTCTGAAATGAAAAATGTTTCAAAAACTGAAAGGTCTCATTACTTTTTTTTTTTTTTTGGAGTGTATATGGTGGTAACCTGACCTAAACTGACATGAGTTATTTATAATTTATTTCATTTATGTGAGTATTCATATTCACATATTTTGTTGCCTAGATTACAATATGCTGCTCCAGACTCCTCTGAGCACCCTGACTGCCCATTACTACCTTTGCAAAGCCCAAAGAAATTATGGATCTTGAAACCCATTTAGTCCTAAGGCTTTAGGTAAAGGGTTGAGGATGCTTCTACTCTGGCTGGGGTCCAGGTGCACAGATAGAAATGTGGGAGATTAGGCTGCAGAGGTGGGTTGTGGTGGAGACCAAGAGAAGCATGGAGTCTGAATTTTATCGTTTGGGCTCTGGGGAGCCACTGAAGGTTCCTGAGCCCGTGTGTCTGTCTGAGGGCCGTAGAAGCGGTTAGGACCTAGCTAAGAGCAAGCAGATCTTCGCCTCTACATCGTGGCCTCGAGTCTCTTCTCCCATTTGAGAGTGTTGCTTTTGTTTACTCACTCGTCCCTTCTGCTTGCATTTGCACAACATGCAGCTGGGTGTCTTACACAACCACCTCCCTTAGCCTTCCCAGCAGGCTTGTGCCATAGACATTACGGTCCCCATGATATAAAGGAGATACCTGAGGCTCAGAGAGGTTGAGTGACTTGCCCATGGCCACACAGCCAGCCAGTAGTGCCTCTGGAAAGGGTCATGGTGGTACTAGAATGAAGAGGAAGTGATTTATTCTGATGGGGTCTGGGGAGAGAGGTGTAACTAGGAAGGCTTCTGAAGGAGGTGACCTTCACGCAGGGCCTCCAAGGGTGGCCAGGTCTGGGTTGGGCCCACAGAGAGCTGAGTGCAGGTGCAGAAAGCCTGTTGCTGAGCCCCATGGTTCCTGTTTTTGCTGACTGTAAAATTTGAAAATGTTGTATAAGCTAAGTTAATGCTAATAGTTGGCCTATGTGTGTTTTTTATGGTCCTAATTTGGTAACTTCTCTTTAGACTTCCTAGACTATATTGTGTTTCTTTTACTGCAATTCTAATTTGTTAGTGGAGGTGGGTAAGGGACACTTCACGTTGTTATTATTATTATTATTATTATTATTATTATTTTAAAGATTTTATTGATTTATTCATGAGAGACAGAGAGAGAGAGTGAGAGAGAGAGAGAGAGAGAGAGAGAGGCAGAGACACAGGCAGAGGGAGAAGCAGGCTCCATGCAGGGAGCCTGATGTCGGACTCAATCCCAGGTCTCTAGGATCAGGCCCTGGGCCAAAGGTGGTGCTAAACTGCTGAGCCACCTGGGCTGCCCACATTATTCTTTTTTTAATGTCCTCATGGCACTCTCTGCTTGGAGCCAGGCTGCCTGGAGGTTGCTGGGCCTCTACATGGTGGTGCGGAAGGAGGAAACCCATGGCTTGTAGATGGAACGCACTGCCTGCCACCTGCAGGCCCAAGCCACCTGCTGGAGCTACCTCACCCGCATCTTCCACAACCTGTTCCCTGGCTTCATGGTGCAGGTGAGCAGCGACTTGCAGGACCTGGTGAGCCTCCCTCTCTGGGCGTGCCACTTCCTGCAAGGTCTGTGCCGCTGTATGGGTACTGGGGACTGTTCTTAGCATGCCCATCACAGAAAATCAGGAGGCACATACATTTATTGAGCACTTACTGAGTACTAAGCTCACTGGCTCCTGGCTTTATGGACAGGATGTGGTTTAAGCCTGGCCATACCCCAGTGGTACTTCCATCCTCATTTGAAAGATGAGGAAACCGAGGTTCAGAAGGGATCACACAGACAGCTAGGGGTAGAGCTGGGATCAAAGCCAGTGGTCTGCCTCCTAGCTGTCCTTGTGCTGATGAACTTGCTGCCCATGGGAACATACAGGAATAAGGCCCCACAACATGCTTTTACAAAATGACTTAGGATCCAAAATCCTTTGAAGCTGACGCTATTCTGAAGGTTCCTCCTATAGGACAGGTAGGCTCTTTTCCCCTCTGGCATGGCCTTGGTGTCACATCTATGGTGGAGGTGCAGAATGAGGCCTGGGTACTGGGGACTTCTGGCCTCCCTTCTCCTCACCCTGGCCCTACTGCAAGCTTAAATACCTTTATTTTTTCTTTTTTCAGCCTCTGCCTCTTTCCCCAAACACCTCCCCCTACACCCCCTGCTCCTTGTCCTCCTAACTTGATGAAAACACAAAGTTCCCATTTTCACACTGATCCTCTACTTGGCTGGGGGCCTTCGCAGCTTCCTGCAGACACCAAGACAGAGTGGATGGGTTCATGCCTGAGGTCACACAATACAGAACTAGCAGAGCCATAATTTGGACCTGGGTCTCCTGGCTCCACTGCACTACTACTGAGTGGTCTAGTTCAGTTTGGCATACAGTGGTTGCACAACTGCTGTGAATGAAGTTCTGGTGGCGGGGGGGGGGGGGAGGCAATGACATGGATTAAACAGGGTCCCTGCCCTTGGGGACCTTACTCTAATGGGGAAATATTGTCCATCAGCCAGCTCAACACACACAGAAACACCTACTGTGTGCTACGGGAATGAGGAGGAACCAGACCCAGCCTTTTCCCGTGAGCTCACAGGTCAGAGGGAGAGGCTGAGAAGTGGTGGCCAGTACAGTTAACTGGGGTATTATGTGCTCAGCACCGTGGGGGAGCAGGAGATAAGGTGCCCACATGTGCCAGGTGACACCCAGGAGCCCTGTAGGCCAGGGCAACTTCTTGTTGGAGAGATACAGGCATTTGCCATCAAGAGCTGATCTTTCAGGGAGCCTGTGTAGTTCAGTTGGTTAAGAGTCCAACTTGATTTTGGCTGGGATCATGAGATAGGGCCTCTGTCCTCCTCCCTGCTCTCTCTCTCT